TGGTGGTGGTGGTGGTGGTGCACTAGAAGTGCTGATTGATTTTTTGAACCTTCGCCTTCTCGCGATGTAACTGGCTTGGTGCAATGCCCCAAGCATCATGAACCAGCGTGCAGCTGGAAGCACATCATCAGAGATTCCAGTCGTGTGCTGGTGGGACGAGCACTTTTCACCTGGCATGAAATATGCTGCTACAATGTGATGCTGGGAGCAGAACCTGGTGCACTGCCAATGCCTGCATGTGCAGACCAGGAGTGTTGCCAAGGGGTCAAAGCCACAGGACGCACTCTGTCAGCTCGACAGATGCCAGCCATAGCGTCGGGCGGCTGATGTCATATGATGAAACACACGCGGCTGCTCTACGGCTCTGTGCGGATGAACTTGTGGTGATTGCGTTGCGAAGTTTTAAGAACGAAGGCAAAAAGAAACTTTCACTAAATGACCATGGAGTCATAAATCTTGCAGTGAGAATCCCATTGAATTCAGAACTTTACTCAATCAAGGCGGATCTGCTGCGAAGGTACACATGAGGTGGTCTACCGACTGCGCAGCTTCATCAACATTCTGTGCCACGCTTTGCATCGCAATTTCAGTCAACTGCTTTGAGGTGATGTTTGCAAGATGCCCACCTTGGCACACGCAGCAACGCACTTGCATCAAGACTCCAGAGCTCCAATCAAGTCGTGCTCCAGCTGACTACGACTAAGATCAGCACTTGGTCCGACGCGATACGACTGAGCAGCTGTGGAGCACCCCTGCAACATCAAAGCAGGCCCCTTCGAATCGTGAGAACCAGCTAAGCCCGCTCGCAAAGCCAAGCAGTCTCCGGGCCTTGGCCTCTGCACTTGGCAGCGAAGTTGTGGGCTGCGGCCTACAAGGCAAAAATCAGGAGGAGTCTTTCAGTATTTTCTTTTCCATGTGGTGGGAGGACTTGAGAGAAGCTTCGGGGCAGTCATACCAACTCATTGACTCGTACAACCCGACAGGAAAGTCAGACTAACAACGTGCACGCCAAGCAAGGAACCATCTCTCAACTGCACATAGTGGATCTACACCGTCAGGTCCTCTCAGCTGACCAAAAACATGAGTTCTCAGGATGTTGTTACAGATCCTGCATGTTGATCAGACTTTCCGAGCACAGTCTGGCAGATGAGACATGAATGCCGGACAGGCTCCACGTCGACTTTATTGAAAAGATCCATTTAGGTTCAGCATTCAGCTTGTGCGAGGCTTCCGGCATTCTACCTGCACAAGAAGGAAAGCCAACAGCATACCAAACCCAATGCTTTCCAAGCCTGCGCCCGCATCTATGGGAAGTAGGACACAATTTAATTCGGAAGTTGGTTCCTTTTTTCTGTTGCTTTTTGGGCAAATCTCAGGCGAGCGTTCAATTCCAAAAAGAATGAAACCTGATTTAAAGATGTGAGCAAATTATGAAAATGGTGAGATATCATGAACAATATTGAAAATGGTGTAAATCATGAAAATGGTTGAATATCATGAACAATAATTATCAATGGTGACACATGATTAAGAGTCATGGAAAATGGTGAGCAAAGAAGAAAATTGTGGCAAACCATGGAACCTGCTGTATAGCAAGCACGGATGGCTTCAAAAAAGGCGTGAGGGTTCCGGGGGGGGGGCAGCCCCCCCCACCTTGCAAACAACAACGAAAGAGATGATGAAAGATAATGGAAACTACTGAAGGACCACGAAGACCCATCAAGAGCATGGAAAAATGTGACGAACGATTGAGAGTTAAACAACATGAAACTGATGAACAGTCATGAAAGTTATTGAGAATTATGAAAGATGTGGCCACTGCTGGAAGAGGATGGAAAATATGAAAATGCTGAAGATGTCACCTGATGGAAAATGGCAAGTACGAAGCATAAAGAAAGAAGCAAAAAGCAAAGAAACAACAATCGCAGATAGCAGCGATCGGGAAGCTGAGCGCAGTCAACGAGAACCAGGAAGCTGAAATAGAGAGTAATGAGCACTCGGGAGATCGCAGGCATCAAGAAACAGAAAGCAAAAACTGACATTAAAAAGTAGAAGCAAGAAAGATAAAGTGAAAGCAAAAAGCAGCAAGCAAGAAACAAGAAGCAACAGGCAGAAAGCTACAAGCAGAAAACGAAAGCAGAAGGCAAAAGGCCAGAAATGAAAAGCAGAAAGCAAAAAGCAACAAGCAGAAACGCAGGAAACACAAAACAAACTCAAAAAATGTGCCCCCCATTGGAAGTTTTGTGATGACAAACTACTGGCGGACGGTGCTCAGACCTACACCAAAACCCATTCCGTTTAAGCAAGAGGGTAATCTGCCAGCTGAGTTTAGGCCCATCCTGCGCACATTGCTTGCTGCACCACTGGCCACCTTCCGCCACATCAGAAACATCAAGCCGCTCATCCATGCTGTGGGACACTTCCCCCAACAAGACATGCCTTTGCTAGGCATCCGACCTTGCTGGCCAGATTGCACGGAGTGCCTGGTCAGTACTGCAAGTGCACTGTTGGCAGGTGTTGGGCAAGCTGCATTCACTCGGCACTGCCTTGCAGTGATAACGGCAGTAATGGTTCGGGACCATACCCACCAGCCACTCGGAACATAGAGAAGATCACCTGTGCAACATGGCAAGCATTGTAAGTCGCCGCTCTTGAAGGCAGCAAGTGCTGACCTGTCTGGAGCACAGCTCTCAGCGCTTTAGCACGCAGCCCTGACACCTGACTGAGAAAGCTCTCCTCCAGCATTGGCTAGTCAAGTGAGAGAGGCCTCATAGCCTGATGACAATTCTTCGCCCAGCTGTGCTGAGGGTGGAAATAGTACCAGCTCCTGCCAAGAACATATTTGATTCTATCAGGCCCTTTTTCAGGCATTTTGGGCGCGCGACCTTCGCACCATAGAGAATGGCCAGCTGGCCTGCAAATGAGCTGGCACGCACATCATGCTGTTCCATCCACTGTCAAGTTCAACGAAATGGAGAAACCGAACTTATCTAAAACGCAGGCCGCGCGTGCCTCCTGTTCACTGCAAAGTGTCCGGCTATTGTACTTGGCAGGACACAAGACCAGTGTGCCCATAAATGAGAGCCAGGGTATGGTAGGTAGCTGTTTTGATATATTTTGGTGAAACGGACCACAAAACCTTATTCCACATTGTTGATATTGTTGCGTTTCATGGCACTGCGCAAGGTCCACGCCAGGCTGGGCAAGACTTTCTCTTCTGAGGTCAGCTTGCTCGGTTTAAAGAAAAGCGGGTGGATGGGGGGACATCTGGGATATCGGACTTGTGGGAACATAAGGCATGCTGCAGGATGAGCATTTGGAACTTTTGAAAGCAACCTCCTATCGACAAAATGCTGGGACGAGTCTCCTTTGAGGTAAGCTTGCACTTCTTAACAAAAAACGGAAGGTGGGGGGAGGGGCGCAGCTGTTTCTTTCTTTACAGAAGCGACCTTTCGCTGTTCTTTCGCGGATCTTTCACGGATTTTCAGGTAAGAATTCTGAAGCTGAGCCTGTCCCTCAGAAAGACTTGCAACCCTTTCACCTTTGAGCATGCCTGGAAGCATGTCTGCGGACTACAAGAACAGAAATGTTTTTGAAAGTAAGTAAAGGAACCATAGCTTACGATACTTTTTTTCGCGAAATCCAAAGTTCCTTTCGCGAGCACCATCGCGACCTTTCGCGGAAGGTCTTTTAAGCCAGCCGTGGTCGCTTTATATAAAACTTCCACATGGGGTTTTCGGGCGATGCGCCCATTTGTCTTTCTGTCGTGTTGTTTTTCAATATTTATCTCTTTCTTTATTCCTTGCATTTTCCTCTCTTCTTTTCAGACAGTTAGCTCTCTTTCTTCTGTTATGTATTCCTCCTGTTCCTTCCTTCCTTCCTTCCTTTCTTTATTGTTTATCAATTTATTCTCTTTATTCATGTAGTTCGTTCTTGCCGTCCTTTCTTTGTCTCTATCTCTCTTGTGTATTGCTTTCTGTCTTGTTGTTCCTTGTTTCTTCTCTTTCTTTCTCTGGTTCTGTCCTTTCTTTCTTTCTTCTTTCTTTCTCCCCGAACCCAACCCGTCCAAACCAAAAAAATACAACACAACATATAAAATGCAGAAAAGTACCCCACCCCTTAACCGCGGTACTACTAGCAAATGAACTGATAAGATGGAGAAATCTACAGTGCCGACATCCTCGAGAGATGCGCCCACACGACAGGTGTGCATTTGTTGCTAATATTGTTGCCTTGCTTTGGTACAGTGCCTTGGAAATCCCCAGCGTGACGCGCCCTTGTGATGCCTTTTGCCTACGCAGGACGCCTTAAGTCAAGCACCCTGCAGCACACACCCGACATGTGCCAATTCTGCTGGAGGCTGAGCGTGCGACTGTCGTGCATTGATGCCCGTGGTGGGGTCTCAGCCTGGGGTGGCTCCACGTCTAGAACCTCAATTTGCCCAGAGCCAAAGATTGCAAGATAGCTCACCAGTGGACAGGTGTCCACTGACACTGGCGCAAATCATCGAACCACGCAATGAGCACAACGCTTTTCTACTTCATGTTGGATAAATGAGGGCAGGCGGCGAAATCACACAATTACGCTCGTAAGGAGCTCGTGCACGCACAAACTACAGCTTGGAAACTTGACTGAAAACACGTACAATCCTTCAATCCCTCACTCCTACTAGGCTCAGCACTGGCAGCTCCTCAAGCATCGCCAACTCTGGAAATGCCTTCCACATGTGCTGCTGAGCATGCAGTGGGAGCGTGTGAACAGTGTGTGAACCCTCTGAAGGCAATACGTGTGAATAATTTTGCACGGCACAACATGCCACAACTGCAATCTTTGGCAGGAGGAAAACGTCGGCATCAGCTAGGCCAGATATGCATAGAAGGTCGTGCTTTGATCATTGGGGAGCTGCCGCTCTAGGTACCTGCAGGGCATGCACAACAATCACAACAAGATATCCCATCTGTCACCAGATCTGCTGGCAATCTCACTTGCTTGTTCAGTTGAAGTGCTCCCGTTCAATGAGCGATTCAATCCGCCGCTTGATGTCCGTAACTTCGGCAGGGAAGCGGATAGAAGACAGCACGTCCGTGAGAAGGTCCTGATGAGACCGCTTCCTCTTCGTCTTCCTCGGTTCAGATTGGTGGCAACTTTTTTCGCTACGGGCAGCTGGCTTCATACAGCTGCGCCACATGTGCAGCCGCGGGATGCTGCGGGAAGCAGCACGGGAACAAATGGTGTTCGCGGGTGTCTGGTCGCTTGATTGCAAAGCTATTCCCCACAAATGCCGACATGTCTCATGACACGGATAATAGCTGCGTCTAGCTCAAGCTGGCGATTACCTGCAGGAGCAGGTTTGCATCCCATACGCACATGCCCTATTACGCATTGTTGGAGCATGTCAGCCACAACAGTCTGCCCTCGAAGCCTATGACCCTCTGCTCCACTGCAGTCTCTTCTTGCAATTGCTCCTGCCACCACAAAAGAAAGCTGCCACATAAAGTGCCCGACAGGCAGCAGCTAAGTCTGCGACATGAAGTGGAACTTACATGAACTTGCAACCATTTGAACATGGCAGCCCGGAAGAAGGAAATACCTGTTATCTTCATCATGACTTGCAAAGCCAGCAAGTGTAGCCAACCGTGCTGAACCTGCACATTGACTGAAGCCTTCTGATACTGTGAACGAAACCACAAGAAAAGCAACGAAGCTGCGCGCCACGCCTTCGCCGAAATTGTAGCAACTGCAATTCTGTAAAGCTTGTGATGAAAGCCAGCATTGTAAGAAAACTTGTCAGCTGGACGAACATATTGTTCGGCGCTGTCCCTGAGCAGAAGCTTGACAGCTTTGTGGAAGGACAGACTTTGCAGTGTCAGCTGGAGCTCCGCTGCCGGAATTCGTGTTTTCTCTTCCAGCTCTTCAAAGCTCAGAGTATCGGCGCTGTTGAAACAAAGTAGGACAACCGCCTGGAAGTGGGAGACCAAAAACTCCTTGCGCGTCTGCATGCCATAGCTGGCACGAAGAAGGCATTGACCCCATGCTGGGCACCAAGACAAAGAACGCCCGCTATGTTGCTGGGCATAGAATTTTGAGAAGCTCGTCCTGAGTTGGCATAACATCAGCTGCAAACTTGGAGACCTTGCTTCACGACGTCATAAGCTGTCATGCAATGGCATAGCTTGACAACTCGGACAAGCTTACCAGACTTCAGCCGTGGACTCGACAGGCGCAACAGCGTTGAAGGAATCGAAATGTCACCGCTGGGATGCGCGGGCCATCGGCCACTTGTCAGAATAGTCGCAGAGAAATCGATGCCAACTTCCTTGGAGTTGTCAATTCCAGGCTCAATCACACAACGAACACTCAAACAATTGAAGATACCCGACCAGCACGCCTTTCCTCTCGAGCAAGGCTCGTCAAGCAAGCCTTCTGCTTTGGCATTCGCTTGAAAGCTTTCATTCAGCACCCGTGAAATCTCCAAGTCCTGGAACATGCCTTCAATGCCTGAGGTCGGGGGGACAAGGGCTGTCCACTGTATGACGCTGCCAAAAATCAATACCCCGCTTCAACTATCTTGTCTTTGTTGATTCTGGTGGTGAGCGGGCAATCAACAGAAAGGGATACCAAACATTGCCACGCTAGCCAGCCGTGTATGCACTGCCGCACTCTTCTCGAAGTCGTGTCACTGCCGACAGCTCAGCATCTTGAGATGCGGAATGTCGCAGAAGCAGTCGTCGCGACAAGTCTTTCTTGTAAAATGCTTCAAACCTGCGCTTTGGCTTCACAGCTGGTGAAAACGGTGGCAACATAGGCACAACCCATCTCAGGCCGGCACGCATCCTTCGCGGCTATGAACCTAAAAATCCTTAATGCTTGTTTCTGATTTAATCATGGGGTTGGCTTCACCCACCTAAGGCAAGCCAAGCGTCTGTGCAGCTTGGTGGATGCAAACCTTGGTGGACAAAAGTAGTTCCAAAAAGGTTCTGCACTTGGGCTGCCACGTTAAAATGCCTGGAATCTGCGTACCTCAATTGCTTCACCACCCGCAGCATCGGCACGCAGGAGTGGCAGAAAGCTCGACGGAGATGTTTGAGGCGGCCTCATGGCGCCCATGGGCACAAAGCGAGAGAAGGGGTTGCAGAAACAACTTCAATCACAGCACTGAACTTTCTGAGCTCAGGGCGTGCGATCTGCTGTGCTGCGCTGAACAGCACCACGCAAAACTGCATCCATGTATCGGGCCAGTCTGAGTTCTTTCAATACTTGCAATGCCGCCGCCATCATAGACAAATACTGTGCTTCAATTCTGGCACGCGATCAAACTTGACCCCGGGCTGGAGGGAAAGCTCGCATGGATCACAAATCACTTAATTGAAGACAAGTTGCAACCTGGCAGCTCTGTTCGCTGATCTGGAATTCAGAAATCCTCCGGATCGGGCTGGCTTCCCAGGGCCACTGACTTGGGAACATGCCAACTGCCACGCACATGTCGCCAGTCCTTCGAATGTTTCCTTCAACGCAATAGCAAAGCTGCTGTCATCAAGAAACGCATTGCTTAGGACCTCGGTCAGGAGAGTCTAAATACTAAACAGCTATAGAACACATCTCCGCAGCAAGCCCATGTTGCAAACAAATGACCTCCTGGGCTGAAGAGAGAAGACGAGCAAGGCCTGGAACTACAACTTTGGAATCGTCACTACTTCCCAGCACGTCTGCTCCGGCCTCGGCTCCATGTCACATGCATTCGAGCATGCCGCTGGCAGTTGTCAAAGATGTCTCCTCCAGTAAGGAGGGCACCTTATGAAGGGCATCACTGAAGGCACGCCGAAGCAGTGGAAGGACATCAACGTCCTGCAGACTGAAAAGCTGATGAGATATCAATTTTTGCAGAGCGCAAATGCTTCAAAGCTCCCGCAGCTCATAGCATGTACAAACAGCAACGAGGCGGCAGGCGCACCACCACTTTCACCACACTCACCACAACAACCACGACGACGATGACGACCACGACCACACAGTTTTCTGCACGCAAATGCATGCATATACGGGCATGCTTAGCATTTTGTAAGATGGGCGAAAATTGGCGGAAAAACGCTAGTTTGGGGAAGAAAGTGTCCGTGCGCTATCTTTGACAGGCATGTGCCAGAAGAGCTCTCCATTAAACAACTACTAGGTAGAAGCGCTGACAGCATGTTGGGGTTGGTATGTCTAGCAAATAACAAGAAATTGTAGCAAAGAGGGTCTTGCTAAAGACGCGCCTGAGGGTTACTGTTGCTAAGACATACGTCTCGTGCAGGTGCTTTTGGTAAAATGGCCCTTGCAGGCTACTATTACGACAATTTAATGATAGTGCAAAAAGGTATTGGTACAGCTTCCCTTGGAGGGTACTACTGGAGAGAAGTAATTGTAGCACAAAGGGTGTTGCTGAAGGGGCTCTGGGCAGTCATGATTGTGAGTACGAAGCAATATTGATGTGCCACTTGCATAGCGTGCAGCAACGCAGAAACACTCCGGCAGGTTGGAAAGACAAGAGCGGCGTAGGCCCTCAAAAATCAGCCAAACAATTTCATTAACAACGTGGTTTGCAACTGCAAAAATTTGCAGCGTGTAAAGTAAATGAAGCAAAACGTACTCCAGAATATTTTGATGACCAGCGTGCTGTATTGAATCTCTCGCCGAAGGCTTGGACTGCACACAAAGCTTCAGCGGAGAAATGCCTCAAGCCTCAGAAGGAAGACTCATACAATCAACACAGTACGAGTGCTCACTGCTCACTGCTTCCTGCAAACGCGAAGTTTTTTGCCATTTGCATGGCCGTAGCAGCGCAAGTAACAAAGCATGTCCAGAGGATGCCAACTCAGAGCAGCCACACCCCGTCAACCCCTAAACGGAACATCTCCGAAAGTCAGCATCCCTGCCTAGTCTAATACTCCGCATGATCTCATGTTCCCTATGTACAGACCCAGCCTCTGGGTGAAGCTCCGTCACAGATGATGACCAAAGACCAAGTAAACCCCACAGTTCAGACTACTAATATCACCCAGCAGTCTCAGCATCCAGGCTGAATTAGGCTACATACAGGCGGCGAGGCGAGAACGTGGTGACAAGCAGCAAGCAGCCGCACATATGCACATTCCACATTCGTCTTGCTAGATCTTGCTAGTTTCTGCGCAGGCAGCGGCTTGCTAGGTCCATAGAATTAACACCACAGGTCGAGCTCAGAGCGAACCTGAGTTGCACAAGCACTGAACTTTGGCTCCACTTTCAGATGAGTGGACGCAGACTGCATTTACATCAGAGGTCAAGGTCCATCAATTTTTTCAGGTCCCGTCTAAACTACATGAAGCAGTACAAGTGTGCAGCAACGCTGGAAAATGGACGCTAGTCAAGTTCCGAAGGCAAAGTCAAGGATTGGGGAATGGAAAACATGCGCATCCCAGTCGTCCGAGCAGCAACTCAATCATCGTGCATGAGCCCCCCCCAAGTCAGCTAGCGGCCAATATCTCTCTTGCATGCCACGTCTGCAGGGTATTTTGTTCACATGCGAGTTGCCCAATCCTGCTCCCCGCGTGCCCTTATCCGGTTTCATACAAACTCTTTTGGCTCAAGCTTCCGGGGCACAAACAATCTCATGGATAACCGTAGTCTTGTTTGAGCTCAGACCTGTAAAGATCAAATACGCAATGACATTGTGATACAAACTAGGCAAATGGAAGTTGACAAACGTAGCCA